TTCATTTAATTGAATAAAAACCTGAAAGCAAAAGATTTTGTCGAAACCGGGCGTGTTATTAATTGATACGCATCAGTGGATAAAGCAAAAGTGTATCTCATGGATATAGTACAGGCAACGCGGATCCCGTATTTCCCGCGTCCCCGCCGCGGTATAATCACAACGCGGTATTTGGCCAGGTAGACAGGTAAACCGCGTTCCCTCCGCGGGAAATTCATCACTTACCTGTCCCCGCCGCGGTTAAATCATCGATCAATTACTGACAATTAGGATCGTAAACAAACGGGAGTTATCTCCCCGAATTGAAATATAGCGAATTTTCCCTGTAACAAAAAAAAAACAAAACAAAAAAAAAAAAAAAAAAAAAAAAAAAAAAAAAAAAAAACAAACAAACAAACAAAAAAAAATAACACGAACCGGGCGTGTTATTAATTGATACGCATCAGTGGATAAAGCAAAAGTGTATCTCATGGATATAGTACAGGCAACGCGGATCCCGTATTTCCCGCGTCCCCGCCGCGGTATAATCACAACGCGGTATTTGGCCAGGTAGACAGGTAAACCGCGTTCCCTCCGCGGGAAATTCATCACTTACCTGTCCCCGCCGCGGTTAAATCATCGATCAATTACTGACAATTAGGATCGTAAACAAACGGGAGTTATCTCCCCGAATTGAAATTAGCGAATTTTCCCTGTAACAAAAAAAAAAAAAAAAAAAAAAAAAAAAAAAAAAAAAACAAAAAAAAAAAACAAACAAACAAAAAAACAACAAAAACAACAAAAAAAAAAAAAACAGACAAACAAACAAAAACCTTGTGTTTATTAATAAATTTTGCTATGAATAGAATTTAAACTAAGAAAAAATAAGTTTATTTTTGTTTCTAAAATTACATATCAATCTTTGAAATTGAATAGAAAATTTCAATAAATTGTTAGGTCTTTGCAATTGGTTAATTATTTTATGTTATTAAGAATCTATCAAGAAACAAAATTAAATACTAGAAATTTTAATCAGTTTTTTTTTTAATCTTCATATTATATGCAAACTGTAATAAATGTTGAACTCAGACTGTTTAAGTTTCAATGAACGATTTTCAGCATTCATTTGAAAAAAAAGATGTACATCTTTTAAAAAATGTACATCTTCATATTGTTTATTAATTAATTTCGATTTATTGTATATAAAATGTACAGGCTTTTTCCTAAAGTGTCAAATTACCGGAAAACATCCGATGACGAGCATTTGTAGTTACATGTAGTGGGCACGTGAACTTAAATTTTCTTTATCCAAGATATCAAGAAAAAGTTCTATTCTTCTTTATTCCTCATCGTTTATGTTCTGTTCCCAAATTAAGTTAATTTAATTAATTAATTTTCTTTAATGTATTTCCCTCTTTTATATAAATGTGCAGGCATTTTTCTCAAATTGTCAAATGACCGGAAAACATTCGATGACGAGAGTTAACTTTGAGCACGTGAACTTTATACAAGAGATCAAGAAAAAATATCGTTTTTCACCTTCACATTAACATGTTTTACTTTTTAATACAATGTCTTTCTTTTTATTTTAATATTTCTCGATTTTCGTGTTCAATAGATAAGATAGGATGTGTAGGTGTAATGATAAACTTCACAGACGAAATTATAGTTTATATTAATAAATATTCAATGCAAAAATTCATATATTTTTGTTTTCTTTGACAAATTCTGTTTCTTTGTGTATTAAGTATTAGCCGCGATTTCCTGTGTATAGGGATTAGCAGTGCCTGAGCAGGAAACGACATGCCCTGGGGGTTTCACACCTGTCTTATAGTATACCTTGGGTAACGCTCGCTGGATGTGCACATCGTTGTCTAGCCATTCAGCAACACATTTGATTCATTGTGTCATTATTGTTTCATCGATATCATTTTCAGATGCGATATTAGCCTTGGAATTTGTGTCAAATTATTGTGCTTTTTTTTTTAAACCGAGTGTATAAAAAGAATAAAAGTAAAAAAAAAACTTTTAAAACAAATTAATGAAGTATTTGATATTAATTAAATCAAATAATGATCCATTACTAGTATGTTATTTCGTGTCTGTTTATATCTGTACCAGTTAGAAGATTGAAAGAGAGAGAGAGAGGAGAGAGAGAGAAGAATAATATCACAATATTAAAGCACGTGCATGATCGTTTTTCCTCCTTTTTGATCTTAAGTCTAGCGAATAAAACTACCGCTGATTTATCAGTTTATTGACCACTTTTCGAATTTGTCCAAGTTTCATTGTTATTTATAGAGAGATTTGTTTATGATCCACTTTCTTCTTTCGTTTAGCATATGTACATTTGAATTACTTCCCTTTTTGTCGCCAGATTACAACGACAGACTTTAGTGGTAAAATAAAATATATTTTTGTTATAAAATTTGATTAAGAAAAACACAGTATATTAAAATTGTCGAATTATTGAAGATATTTATTTGAAACAAAAAATTTAAAAAGGATTCTGTCTGAAACAAAAACATTCTTTATTTCATGCATTTCAATTCATGAGCTACACATGAAAAAAAACGGCGTCGTAAAAATACAATGTAGGAAAACGCATACAGGTAATACACTCAGGTAACATCCTGTGTATATAGGTAGTATGTACACTAGACAGCGTGTTCCCTCGGGGCTTCTCATCTGCTTCGAGTAAGCTCCATTCCACACCAAACTTACCTGAGGAAAACCGAACGGTTACACAGACATCTGAAAACTTGAAGCATGACAACTTGCTGATTAAAATAAGTTAATTTCTGTGTTGTGTGTTCAAATATTTTAAGGGCCCATATTTATATTTGTGTTTTATTTGAACCGGAAAAATCTGAAATTTGTTTATGTTCATAAACATGATTTTAGTAATTCTCGAAAAGAGCAGAAAATAGAAATACATTCAAATACTAGCTATGATATTATTGATATTCTGAATAGAAATACTTGTGATTATTTTATTGTCAAGACCTCCCCCCCCCCACACACAAAATCGTCGATATTTAGTTCATAGTCTTACAGTGTGGCGCATAAGAATGGAGCAACGGTATTCCAAAACTTAGGAGTGTTTTGTTAAAATTTAATTGTAATTAAATCTCACTATCTATCATCGTTTTTCATGCTATTATTTATAACAGACATGTATACAGAAGTAACGGTACTTTTCTAAATGAAACCAAATGACTGATATAATCTCGCAGATAAATAAACACATAGCTACATGTAACTGCACGGGCTAATTGTATCACCGGATTACAGTGCATATAAAGAGAAGCGATATCATGGCATTCTCTAAATTTTAATTATACCTTTTTTAGCAATTTGAAGATCCTTTGGGGTGGCATTATTGATTTTGAAAATAAACTTTAAATTAATATATTCAATAAATTATTCGACTTTATTTCATCCTATACTGTACATGTATTACTGTTAACAGACGTTTTTGAGAATTAATTAATTTTGAGTGACCATTGGTTAAAAAAAAAATGTTTTTTATCAAACAATTTGATAAAACTTAAAAATGAATTTTTAAAGAATCCCTGTAATGGTATAAATCTATTAATATTAATGTGGTCGTAATCCCCCCCACCCCCCCATTTCGACACGATTAAAAATCGACAATACTTTACAGGTAAGAACATCTAAGCTGAAGAATAACGGTAGCGGGCCCCGCCGCGGTGTAAACATTGTCTCAGGTAGCACCGCGATCAAAACCCGCGACGGGTAACGCGGAAAGGATTAATACACCGCGGAGGGGACGCGGTCTAATACGGGATCCGCGTTGCCTGTACTGTATGTATCCCCAACACGTATGAGATCAATAAATTACGCAACAGACATAAAGAAATATTCCAGAAATATTTATTCTCCAACCTTCGAATGATAACACTTGTTTGACACCGAGGGGTTCCCATACCCGTTAATGTTTGTATAACTGTTTATCTTAAATACGCAGTTTAGTTATTTAAATGACAGGTCGCTTTCTTTTGCAGTATTTTTTTTAAAACTGAATAAACAGGTATTTTGTAAGACGCAGTACTAGGAGATGCGCTCGAGAAACACTGAATAGAACTGGATAATTTTCCAATTCTTGCACGTCAACGTTATTATATTAGCCTACATGTTGATATAATTATCCATATTTTAAAATACATCATAAAACTCTGACAGTTATAATAAATACAAATGTTAAGTCATTAGACGACTGTCCAGAAGTTTTGGCTAAAGTTAAATTTTGGTAATTTTTGCAATGAAGAGCAAACTCAAAGGTCAAGAGGCCTTGTCACAAAGAAAATGTGACGTGTGTAAAATATGAAAGCCATAACTTTACTCAATCAAAAGTTTGATCTCTTTTAGAAGAAGATCCATATAAAGATATACAAAAATTATCAGCTGAATATTTTACGTTATATCTGATGGTTAATTTGTTGACCCCTAGCCTACTTAATCATTAGCGAAAGAAAAAACAATGTTGAAGGTCAACGTTATCATGTGACATGTTAAATAATCTTCTTGCACATCGTTATTATCCAAAGAAAAATAGCTTGCAAAAATGGGAAGAGAAATTTGTATCTATACTCGTACTTCTAATTATATATTACATTGAAACATGTTTAATTCGACACGCACTGGGAGACAAATTTTGTGTCCGAATAGACAGGGTGTCGGATTGCACAGTGTTAAAAACAAGGAAAATACGCAAACTGGAAAGAAATTTTACGTCGGAATTCACAGTGTGTCGGATTATTCAGGTGTCGGATTAGACAGTTTTCACTTTAGAATTGCCATTTAACGATGCATATTAGATTACATTTGACATTACTACACACATGATCCTTATCCTACAAAAATAATTTTTGAAGAAATATGTGCATGTTGCTTATTATTTCAAGCAATGCATCATTTATAAATTCACTGGTTTATTTTAATATAAGTATAAGTATCACCTTTTAATAAAATCTTAACATATACTTTTTTTCCAGTAGAAATGGGAAACCAGACATTCTCAATCATTTGGCTTGTTTGCTGTATGATTTTATTAACCACATACATTCAAGGTAAAAATGCTTTTTTACTCAAAGTAAGGATTCGACTCGTATACTTGTCAATTAATTCCATATTTTAAAATACATCATAAAACTCTGACAGTTATAATAAATACAAATGTGAAGTCATTGGACAACTGACCAGAAGTTTTGGCTAAAGTTAAGTTTTGGTAATTTTTGCAATGAAGAGCAAACTCAAAGGTCAAGAGGCCTTGTCACAAAGAAAATGTGACGTGTGTAAAATATGAAAGCCATAACTTTACTCAATCAAAAGTTATGGACAATATACATAACACCAATAGACAGATAGATTAACAGACAGACATATCGATCAACAAACATGGCAAAACAATACACCCCAATCTTTGATTACAAAGCTTTCAAAAGATTTGTAGATTCAAATTAGGGTATCAACAAATATTCAACTATTCGACTGTCAGTCGAACGGACCGATCGATGATCGACATGTAAAAAAAGTTTGTTTTCTTTTTTTTTTTACTATTATTTTAGTATATCGGAAACAGTTCTAGACATTTAAATTAATTTAATGTTATTCTTTAGAATATTGAACTGTCAGAGTTTTATGATGTATTTTAAAATATGGAATTAGGCCTTTCCATGTATATATGTATTTTTGACCTTGACCTAAGGGTTTTTTTTGGTGACCATAAGATTCGAACGGTTGATGTTTGATTTACCGGGTATGTTCAAGGAGACAAACACTTTCTATGGGTATCGAAATTTTTTATCCAATGGCATTAATCTTGAAGCTGCAGTTGTATTTGTGAACCTTACACTTTCACTATTATTTGTAATACAGGGGTGAGGGGTATCAGTTTTTCTTTACAAACACATCTTATATATCCTTATAATATCACATCCTTTTACATGTCTATTCCACATGAATTACACATGTTTTTACATTGACAAAAAATAAGTTCACTGTTGTAGTAAAATGGACTTTTTATTATTTGATACAAAAAAATTATCAATTGTTTATCATTTTTCCATTTATTTATCATATCATTAATCAATACCGTAGATGTGACCTGACAACAGGAGATGCTCAACCCTCATAGGCACCTGATCCCATCCCTGCCAATATCAGGGTTACCTGTTATATATCCTTTTCACACATTGGTATTGTTTATGGAATTTTTATATGGTTCACAGTTAAATTTCTTCATTTATAGGAACTGTTGCAGTGGGGTGTACCACAAATGACGTCACAACATGTAGTACTACCTATACATATGCGATTAGAGCTGCAGGAAACGATATTGAAAAAATGTGCAGGTTAATTTTTTTGTTTGTTGTTTGAAAAATTTTATCAAAATCAACGTGGAAAAATTTAATATTATAATATGGCCGACACAATACATAAGTTGTATAGATCCAAAAATTACAAGTATTTAATACCCTGCATCTTCCTGGTCTGCTCCACTAGATGAAGGATGTTTTGAGAAGTGTTTGAATATAAATTATGTGATTTGCTGACACCGTTATATCAATGAATCAAATCCGTTTCTTCTCGTTTCCTCTGAGTAAATTAAATCAAACATTTCATTCTACAATATGGATCGATCGCAGAAAAGGAGTATGTTCCCAAAATGTCATGAAGTTTGAAAACTATCAAATAGAGAAGTCAACATACACCGATGAAGAGCTTCAAAATCGAGAACTTTACTCGGCATCGAGGGCCATTAAGCAGTAAGGGGTCTTTATCTTGTCGACGCCTGCCGTAACATTCTGCGTTACTTTTTAAAGTGTCATAATCATAAGGACCCACAGCGTCTCCTTCAAGGTGCCAGGTGCTTAAGCGAATGCACAAATGTTATTCTTTATCGACTAAGGTCAATAGTGGCCTAGATTCGAACTGTCAACATTCAAATCCCGTTGCTAACGCTTTACGAATTGAGCTACCATGACGGGTAATGAACTTGAAAATGTGGAATTGAAGAATTTCAATCTATTCTTTTAAATATAAAATAATTTTTGCTACCAGCGAAAACATTTATTTGAAAGTTATATTTATACTGAATCAAGTTCAAATTTCTAGGAATTCGATGTATGTATAAAGGGATTGACTCAGTTCAGAAAAAGATTTTTTTTGCAAATAAACAAAAAGTTGAAATTGTCTATTTTCTTTGGATTTTGTATGTAAGGAAATGCTCATCATATTAAACATGCTTTCAGAGTACAAAAATGATTTTATGATGTTTTACTAAACAGTGTTACACATCAATTCCTGGATTGTCTAGACAAGGTATTGGCATCCTGTGGTACAGACAGCTCACTTGATTCAGCAAAAGCGTACGTCAACCAAGCAAGGAAAACCATCAACCAAAACGCGTGCGGTACGTATCTCTAAAAATAGAGTAAAAGCTGTAAATCGGCAACCAAAGAAATTCGCCAACAAAAGAGATTAGCCAACATTTCATATTAGACATAAAATAAGATTTCGGAATCCATAACATCTAAATTAGGCAGGTTTCATACTCAAGTTCTACAAGGAAAGAAATAGAATAATTACTACAATTAAGTAGCTATGTAGACATCTAATAAAGATAAAAAATACTATTCTTTTTTAATGTAGAATTGGTTAAAAGTAATTATCTACTTTGCTCCCAACGCTGAATTTTTTTTTCTTCATTACAGGTGCTGTGGGTCTTGTCTTTAATCTACTGGCCATGGCTTTTTGTCTCGCGTTTACATACATTTTCAAAATTGTCCATGATTGAAATAATATTTAGCAGGGTTTATAATTACATAATTATCATGCATAATCTGACTTCATTGTATGAATTTGATCTATGTGTAGTCATTTTTGTAGTCAAAATAAAATTTCTTAGATGCTTTTTGCAAAACTTACGAAAAAAATTATTGAAAAAAATAATTTCAATCAATGATCAAAAATAAATCTGTTATTTATAGCTATGACATGTAACATTTCAAAGGTTTATGTCTGATATTGTAAAGTGTAATTTACTCATGCTAGCTTTGTCATATATGCTATGATTTTTATTGTTACATGGATAAAATTCGTTTAGTATTATTACTCTAACAAATATATTGCTTTCACGTCCTACATATACATTCGTTAAGAATATCGATGTGAAAAAAATTCTCTTTCGGGTTGTCAAAATATCCATCCAATGATTTGAGAAAAACATATTAAACATCTATGTTTAAATTATTATAAGATGCCTTAGAAGATAGCTTCATTTTTATAAGAATGTTAATTGGACTGCAGTATTTGTAATAAAATCAAAATACAATAAATGTTAATATTGTACAAATTAGATTGTTCCAAGCAACACATGTCTCAATTGCTTTGTAATATCCTTAAAGATGTAAATGAAGCAGCTATTTAATTACTACTAACATGATAGTTTTTTCTGTTTTCTTTGCAACAACGTAATGGCAAAATCTATATTTTGCTTTTAAAGACCTGAAATAAGTCTCAGTTCGTATTTTGCTTAAAAGTTTTAGAAACCCCAAAAATATGTCGGATATATATATTGTTTTAAAAATATTTTGGAAGATTAGGATGGTTTTCTATTTCAGAAAGCAAACAAAACTAGAGGTACTGTGAGCAATGAGCTCACTAAATGATACCCCCGCCTCCCATATTGTCCATGTTTTCCTATTGTTTTACGGAAATGTGTAAAGAGGAATAACTCGTCTTATCAAATCTTATCCAGAAACTTCTATATGCGACGTCATAGGATATAAATATAGAATATAATGGCAAGGTCCATCTTTTGCTATGGGAAACCTAAAATACGTGTCGAATAAAAAAGTAAAATAGGAGGTGCACAATGGCAATATGTAATAAAGATTCTGTGAAAGTTTAATTAAATTTTACGCAGTAGTATAAGAAGAGGAGTTGCGGATAAGAGATGGGCATCCCAAAGCGTAACTGAAGAACGGACGGACGTACATACGTACGGAGATATCGATTACTATATACCCTCCCACTTTTCAAAAACATCAAAATTGTGATGCACTGTCTAGAGGGTCTATTCAAAACAAACGTACACATTCGAAACAAAAGAAATCCCACATGAGATAACAGAGGCGACATTTATATTTTCAAATTACAATGAACAACAAATTTTGGAAATAAATAACAATCTAGCAGAAAGGGAAAAACAAAGTAACAATGAAAGAAACAAAAATGAACAAATTAAACAAGAACAACAAAATTGTCCCTAGTTTAAACATATGTACAAATATTTAAAGGATGGCACACATCCAAATGAACCAAAAAGAGCAAAGGCAATCCCATATGAAGCAAATCAATTTGAATTGGTGCAAGGTATCTTGTTTCATATTTTTCAACCCAGGTGAAAAATAAATCAAACCCAGAAGCGATAATAAAACAATTGGCATGTCCCAGTCTTTCAGAAATGATGTTCTGAAATCTTACCATGATTCATTAGCAGGTGGTTGTCACTTGGGTGTACACGGAACTTATTTGGCAATAAAGCAAAAGTATTTTTGGCCAGGGATGTATAAAAATGTGTATGACTATGTTACGTCATGTGATGTGTGTCAAAGGGTAAAACGAGATACAGCAAGTAGGACTTACACCCATTACCGGTGGAAGGGACATTTGCTCGATGGCATATGGATATATATTGGGAGGTTTGCCAAAAACAAATCAAGGGTATCAATATATTTTATTGGTTACAGATTCATTATCACACTGGTCAGAGGCACTACATGTACCTATGAAAACTCAAGAAGCAACAGAGGTTGCACATTTATTGTACAAGGAAATATTTACAAGATACGGGGCTCCGCGCACGTTGGTCAGCGATAGAGGATAAAATTTTATGTCAAAAGTTGTCCAAGCCTTGTGTAATATATTCCAAGTAACTCGGCACGTCACTAGTTCGTATCATCCACAGAGTAATGTGACATGTACGAAACTCTTAACCGTTTTCCGGCCGGAGTCCGGGCGGACTGAGACGGATTCCGGTTAAGTGCTGGGAGGATTTAGCCGTACTAGAGGCGGACCTGAAAAACGTCTAAGCTTTAACCGTTTTCCGTCTCATATCTTAGGTGGATTCCACCTTAAATCCTAGGCATTTTTTTGTTAGACGTTTTCCGGCTTAGCTCTTAGTCGGAATCTGCATTAATCTAACTAATTATAAAGGATTGTGAACAGTTAAAATTATTACTACGTTTAATTCCTCTAGATGACCTTGTTTTCTTAAGGCACTAGTCGAACATAACTTTTAAGTAGGAATGCCACACTAAATTTTTATTTTATAGATCTCTGAGTCAACCTTTTTGAACCATGGTTTCAGCACTGAAAGGCTGATATTAGCCCTCAATTATTTTATATGAATTTTTTTGTATTCTTTCAAAGAAAATGAAAAAAAAAAATTATTTACATCCAAATGAAATGCTTTAATTTGTTGTAAAACTTTTGCTGTAAATGAATGCATCATATGAATACCTAATGAAATATGCAAAGAGAAGCTGCAAAGATGCTAAAAATTTTTAAATAAATTTTTTTTATGAAAATAAAACACATAATTTGTGAATAATTTTTTTAATTTGTGGTTAAAATCTTCTTAAAACCAGTCACAACTGGGGAGAACATGTTCATTTATCATATTTATAAAAGAAATTGAAACGAAATGGCCAAATTTTAGAGAAATTAATTTTTTTTTATTTTGGCCAATCCCGATCAAAATTAAACCGATCCCAACTATAATTGTACAGTTATTGGGATTAATAACATTTTCCCAAGAACACTAGTTTGCTTAGGTGTAATAAGGGTTAAAATATTATTGAACTTGACAATAAAATAGATTTCTTCATTGTAAATACATGAAGAGGCAATAAATTAGAATTTTATTCATTTTGTGTTAATTCTGATCGGGTTAGGTTCAAATATTAAAAAAAATAATTTCTCTAAAATTTTTCTATTTTGATTCAATTTTTCTTTAAAATATGATTGACAAACATGTTGTCCTCAGTTGTGACTAGTTTTATGGTGTTTTTAACAGGGATGGGGTAATGGTAATGTGTAATGGTACTTGACTGTAATTAATTACAAATTTCGATGTAATTGAAAGTAATGTGTAATTGACCAAATTTTCAATTACAAGTAATGATAATTTAATTAGTTACTTTCCAAAAAGGCATGTAATTCACAATCACTTTTCAATTACATTCAATTACACTGATTTTAAATAAATGAAAAATAGTCTCCTCTCCTTCAATTTCATTAACATTATTTATGGGAGGTTAATATCATAGTTTGGACCAAACATTTTAATAGTTAAATTTCTTGAAAAGAACTTCCCTTTTTATGTCAATTGTTGTTTGAATACAATGCCCGTTTTCATTAAAAAAAAAATAAACTTTTGAATCAAATAACTCTTTGTAGAGTTTACAAATAAAATTCATATTTTGATTTTTTAATTAATTAATCCATATGAAAATAAGAAGTCCAATGGCTTCTAATCCTTTTGTTGGCCATATCTTCAGCTTGTGTTGAAAGTTATTAACAGGTTCTAATTAGAGTCTTGTGGTCATATACTTATTCCTAAATAAACATTTTTCACACCTTTGACTTTGTTGGAGTTTTTATACATATTCTTTGACTTTAAATTGTAGTTTGGCACAGAATAAGTCAAATACCCACATTTTGAGGTAAACTTTTGATGCTGAAATAAGGAAATATAAAGGCAAATTAAAGCATCAAAAGTACATTTAGCATAAATTTATCACTTGTTTATGGGAAAGCTTAAAGATGATTCCAAAATTTAAACACATGAATTCAGGTAAAACCATCTGTAAACTTTCTACTAGTCAGTATCTACATGTATGCATTTTTCTCACAAATACCCCAGTGGAAAGAATCTTCAGCATGGCAGGAAAATCTTCAAATTAATCGAAGATATATTAAGTTAGGGGACACAGTATTTGAAAAATGAATGAAGCTTTCAATGATATACTGACACGCAAAAGAAACGCAACACCCTACTTTAGGGTGAAATAATTATGTAAAGTAAAAGATTTTAAATTTTAAAATTATTGATATCTTCAAATTGGTAAATATCGGTAATTTAACGGTTGAATGATTTTCATACCATAACCGGAAGTCAAGTTTGAGTCTGCATAACAGAAATCGAAAATTGCATGTTTCACAAAACAGCTGGCAATATTATGGAGTTTTAAGGGTTAGTACTGTTCATCTTAAGTAATGCAGCAATATTACAAAAAAAAAAATTCTTTCGTTTCCCGTAACGATGCTAAAGCTTCTTGAAAATGGCTTAAGTGCCCATTTCTATTGCTCTAGCTGGAAAATCACAAAGTAAAGGCGACGGAGAGTTGATGATGCAAAAATACACTACATTACGTCTCAACGGTGTCTTACATATTATATTCATAAATGATAGTCTTTGGACCGGAAGTCCAAGGGTTACTACAATGTGCTAAGTTAGAGAAAATTAGACCTAATCACCTGAAGAACAGGCATTTGAAAATGGTAAAGAATAATTCCTTCGCTCAAATCTCGATATTGATTAACTTATTGTATCCTAGAAATTAAGCTGCTAATGTTGTTTAGGACAGTCTAAAGTATTAGAGTGGCTGGGAGGGGGGTGTTTTAAAAGTCATATGTTACTTAGTAAAGTTAAAAGATAAACATTTAACATTTTTATCAAATCTCTGATGTTCTGAAAAGTGAGTTTAGCCTTACTGTATTCTTTTTTCAAAATCATTAGATAAAAAATTCAAACATCTGTAGATTACTGCTTGTTGCGTTTCTTTTGCGTGTCAGTATATTATTGTAACAACTGTTGTAAAATAATCTGTTATAAATGTAAAGGAATATACATGACTATTTACTTTTATACGTGTATTCTTGAATGTAATTTGTAATTTAA